AGGGAGCAATGCCTTCAAAATTCTGAGGAAAACGTACCTCTAACCTAGAATTTGTTACCCAATCAGACTAAAGTAAACTAAAAACATTTTCAAAGATGTAAGGTCTGAAAATCATTTCTTCCAATGTAGAGTTCCTCAGGAAAATACTGGAGGATAAACTCTACATCAAAATAAGGGAGTAAACCGAAAAAGCAGCAATCATGGGAACTGAGATACAGGAGACTCCCCATCGAAGGGGAAGGGGAGTCCACGACAGTAGGGGTTCAGCCAGCCCAGAGAGCAACCAGCCAAACTGAAGGCAAGTGGGATTTAATAGACATTTCTAAGATGGTATTGAATTCCAGGGAATGGATCATTAAATCTTATTGAGAACTTAACAGCGACATATGAAATATAACCTTATTTGATAAACCTTAGTTGGCTGGCTACCTTTTAGGAGTACGTAAACCACTCCTGGGCGAAAAGACTGAGGTCATCCTATGTCCAGGAAAATAATTGCTCTTTTGTGGTTTCCAGTAATACGTAAGAACACAAAGGGCACAGGATGGAAGAACACCAGGCCCACAACAGTCGAGGGGTACGTGGGAAGACTGAGACTGCAGAGCTCCCCTGACTGCCTTGGGCATGCTCTGTGGGGCTGAGCACTCAGAAACCACAGCTGCAGTAAGACCAGGGTCAACGACATACCAGCATCTGTGTGTGATATAATGAGGTGATGCCTGACACAGGACTTCTGACTGTCTTGGAGGAAAGGGGCTCAAAGCTAGATCTAATTTGATTTAAAACACCCAAGAAATTTGGGGCAAGGGGAAGGGAAGATGAAATTGACAAAATATCTAGTGTTTGAATCTGTAGTGAGGGAGTACACAAATGGGTGTGAATTTGAATCATGGTAAGTACATATAAAATTCTGTACTTAGAAAATGTAAAAAAAGGGCCGGCCCGGTGGCGCACTCGGTAGAGTGTGGCGCTTGGCAGTGCGGTGGCGCTCCCGCTGAGGGTTCGGATCCCATGTAGAGACCGGTCCGCTCACTGGTTGAGCACGGTGCGGGCACGACACCGAGGGTTGCGATCCCGTTGCTGGTCGCGGTACGGGAGTGACACCGAGGGTTGCGATCCCGTTACCGGTCACGAAAAAAGACAAAAAGGAAAAAAAAAATCTTTACATCCAAGATAACCAATTGTACAGGAAACAAAAATAATCATAGTATACAATACATAGGTCACCTACACATAGCTTTTGCGTAAACACAAACACTCACCATTCACTAAAATCTTAATAAAAATAACATAAATTTCTTTCTTTTTTTTTTTTTTTGTCTTTTTCCGTGTCCGGCAACGGATCGCAACCATCAGTGTCGCCCCCGCACCGGACCGGGACCGGCAACGGGATCACAACCCTCGGCGCTGCTCCCGCGCCTCGCCCAGCAAATAACATAAATTTCAATAAATGGAANCAACCCTCGGCGCTGCTCCCGCGCCTCGCCCAGCAAATAACATAAATTTCAATAAATGGAAAGACATGCCATATTTGTAAATAGGAAGATTCACTGAACATTCTCCATGGTCAATGCCAATCAAAATGCCAACTGACTTTTCTCTTATTTTCACTAAATTATTCAAAGGATCACACTAAAGAGTAAATGGGTGGCATTCATTATGAAAATTCTGAAAACAGAATTCTCTGACAAATATTAAAACATAATAAAATTAAAGTATTTAAAACAGTACCACATTGGCTTGGACCAGTGGATCAAAATGAAATGTTCAGAAATAAATCCAAGTATTTTAGCACAAGATAAAGGCAGTGATTAACTCCGTGGAGGAAAATAATGTTTTTCAGGAAGTTGTGTAAACAGGCTGGTCTGAAGGGTGTCTGTCATCTCTGTTGATTGTTCAGTCAGTTGCAGATCAAACTCCTTGTTCTACTTTTCCCCCCTTCTCACTACTGCACTTGATTAATCTAAAAATTTTTTAAATTTTAAAAATAAACTGTGTAATAGCATTAAGACAACTGTGATGATCCCGACATCATACCAAGATAAATTCCAGAGGGTTTAAAACATTGATAAAAATAAATAAATTATAAAATAAGAAGACCTTTCTAGGCAGAAAAGCAAAAGCAGAAAACTATAAAGAAAGAAACAGTGGATTTGAAGACATATACTTTTATTTAATAAGTATTCTTGAACACTCACTACATGCTAGGCAATAAACTAGGTCTGGGTGCACAGTGTGAGCAAAAAAACACAAGGACTCTGCTACAGAGGGGCTTATAGTCTAGGAGAAAGAGAATCAATAATTGCAAAAAAGTCTGAGCCATTCTCAACTTCACTCTTCCTCTCACATCCCATGTCTAGTCAGGAAGCTGACCAACTGCTACTTTCAAAAGATATCCACAATCTGGCTACCTGTCTACACCTGCACTGCTACCATCCTCATCTCTCAACTGGATTGCAACAGCCTCCTAACTGGTCACCTTACCTCTGACCTCATTCTACCAAACCTATCCCTCCACTTTTAATTTAAGTCAGACCCTGCCACTTCTAGGCTGAGAGACCTACATGTCACCCAGTACAAGTTAAAATCTTCACAATGGCCTTACAAAGCCATACATAACAAGCTCCTCCATCTAGTCCACCTTCTACCACTCTTAGCTCATGCACTCGGCTCTAGGCGTGCATATCTCTATCTTAAGGTCTTTATGCCAGCTGTCCCTCTGCCAAAAACTCTCTTCTCCCATACATTCGGCTGGCTAACTCCCTCGCCCCTTTCAAGTGTTTGCTCAAATGAGCTAAATCTGAATAGGCCTATAACTAGTAAGTGACCACTCTATGTAAAAATGCAACTCCCTGGGCCGGCCCAGTGGCGCACTGCTACAGTGCACTGT